CGCGGGAGGCCTAACACAAGATGCTGACTAGACATAGTGCGCAGGCGAGGTATGGGCGGGTGCCCCATCCGGTGGTGCCACAGAACGGTGGGGTGGGCAAGTGACCAGCAGGAGCACGACGCAGCAACTGGACCAGACACTGGAACCTGACCAGACACAGCTACCTGGGGAGACGTGGCAACCTGGTGGGACGCGGGAACCTGACGGGGGGCAGTAACAGGGGTCGGGGGACAGTAGCTGCTGCTGCTGGTGCTGCGGCTGCTGCTGCTGCTGTGAGAGTATGACGGCCTATGCCAGCTATGCTTGCTTGCCTTTACTTTATTATGCTATTTCTAGCATAGGATAATTATATGCATGCATGAATTGCTTGATTTCCTAGGCTAGGTGCTTTCCTATATTTTATTATAGTTATAGCACCGAGCTAGGTTGTGCGCACCGAATTTTGGCTTTTCGGTTGACACCGAATTGCCTTCTACCGAATTCGGGAAGGATCTGTTCGGGACGCTTCGTGATCCTCGGAACCTTCGCGTAACACCTGGTTACTGGGCCTTATGTCGAGTCTATATATAGCCTTGTGTTGTACCCAGGTGATCATTCAATTCAAACTCTCTTTTCTGAGCTCAATCCTAGATCCTCACACTTGGTAATCAGAGCCCGTTTTCACGCGAAAGTTTTTCGACCGCTAAAACCGAGTCTTCAAAAACCGCGGGGGCGACGCAGTTAAACATCGATTTCGGGTACGTAATACCGGTTCCGTATTTTTCGCTCCCCCTCGTTTCGGTTTTTCGGACGTGCAATGTCAGGCATGGAGGGCCAAGGCGACAACTATGCGACCACGAGCGACATCGCGAGCCTCCGCACCGACATGGAGCAGACGCAGGCGGCGCTACGACGACTCGAGGCCCTTCTGACACACCAACCAGGACTTGCCACCGCAGCAGCAGCGAATGCAGCAGCGAACGTAGCAGCGACAACACCCACAGCAGTGGCGACACCGACATTTCACGGACCGATGGCACCACTGTCGCCGAACCTCGAAGCAGCATGACCGAGGCTCCCTGAAGCGTTCGACCCCAGCGCGAAGGGATCCGACGTCCGGCGATTCGTGGCAACCCTCGAAATTTACTTCGAGGCCATTGGCTATTCGACCCCGCAACACGACGCAGCAAGAATTCGGCTCGCAGCGACACTGTTACGTGGACCGGCACTCGAATGGATTTATTACACTGACCTGGCCCGCGGGGAGAAAACGTGGCAGCAGTTTCGGGCAGACTTAATCGAGCGTTTCGAACCCATTAATACGACCTACATGGCGCGGCAGCAGATACACCGTCACAAGCAATACAGTAGTGTAGCACAGTACACGCTGCCAAAATCAAGAAGTGGTGAACTAGAAAGTTGTTGGAGTACAAGTAGGAAACCCTAGTGAAATGTACCCCCTAAAGGCTAACCCACTGTAGCCTACACAACAGAAACATATACAATGTTTGACACACCCCCATAGGCTAAGTGGGGGAGAACAAGGGGTCACAGGACCAGTCAAGAAAGCCAAAGCAAGCTCAGGGTGGATCACAACGTCACCACACACTCTGAGCACAAGCAAAGGACCACAAGGCCAGTTCACATGCAGAGGCATATATGTAGCACAAACATCACAGTGATCTATGTCTAACAATCATGCAGGTACAGATATATAGATCACAGTACAGGCAAAGTCTACAACAAGTGAGGAAAAGTGGGCACAAGCCCTAGCAAAGTGCAGAAATGCTGATGATCACCAGACTGAAGTGCCTTGGTGAATATATCAGCAGTGTTGGTCTGAGAGGCCACGTAACGCAGACGAAGCTGACCACGCTGCTGCAACTCTCGAGCCAGAAAGTAGTGTAGAGCGATGTGCTTCGTCCTGTGCTCCAGTCTGTGCTCCTCACACAAGGCAATGGCAGCCTTGTTGTCGACGTACAGCACTGGAGGAGAACGAGGCCGCTCTCCCAGGTCGGTCAGCAGGTAGGTGAGCCAGCGTAACTCCTGTGCAGCCATGGCTGTGGCGTAGATCTCAGCCTCACAACTGGAGCTGAGAACTGAAGACGAGCGTATAGAACGCCAAGAAACTGAGCCAGAGCCAAGGCTGAAGGTGTAACCCTGTGACGACCGCTGAGTAGCCTGGTCGTCAACCCAAGAAGCGTCTGAGTGCCCAGTGAGAACAACTGGGCTCCCTCCTCCAAGCACGAGCCCCTTGCCCGATGTACTGCACAAGTAGCGCAATACCCTCTTTGCAGCATCCATGTGCACCTTTCAGTGCCTGCCAGGAGCCACATAGCGGGCCAGAAGGCCAAGAGGGTATGCTAGGTCAGGACGAGTGCAAGTCATCAGGTACATGAGGCAACCAACTAGCTCTGGGTAAGGACCACTCGGCTCTACGGACTCATCCGAAGGCAGAGCTGAGAGCGAGTGACCTATAGCCAGAGGAGTGGCCTGTGCTGAGGACCAGGTGAAGCCGAAGCGCTGAAGGACCTGCTGCACCATGTGTGACTGAGTCAGTGTGATGGTGTGGCGTGCTCTGTCCCGGGTGATCTGCAAGCCAAGGTAGCTGCGCAGTTCACCTAGGTCTGTGCACGTGTGTCTCTTCTGCAGCTCCGACTTCACGTGGGCGAGAGCCTCAGTGTCAGCAGTGGCAAAGACCAAGTCGTCGACGTACACGAGGATGTAGAACGGCGGCAGCGAAGTGTCGGTGCGCAGAAACAGCGACGGGTCAGCAGTAGAAGGTGTGAACCCAAGTGCCGCAAGAGTAGTCCTCAGTGTGTCGTGCCACTCATGTGGCGCCTGACCGAGACCGTAGACCGGCCGCCGGAGGCTCCACTGGGTACCAAGAGGAAACGACCCAGTGAAGCCAGGAGGGCGGCGCAGCCAGATCTCCTCGTGCAGGCTGCCCTGCAAGAAAGCTGTGCTGAAGTCAAGAGAGTGAAGCTCGTAGTCACGCTGAGCAGCAACGTGCAGTAGCACCCGACGAGTGGTCATCTTCGGGGTGGGGGAGAAGGTCTGAAAGAAGTCTATTCCCTCTCGCTCACTGAAGCCTCGAGCAACGTAACGAGCCTTGAAGACAGGCGGAGAACCCGGCGGCCGCTTCACCCTGAAAATCCACATGCCACTGACGATGTTCGCCCCAGGAGGGGGAACCTCGTCGGCGTAAGTGCCAGTGGACTTCCAGGATGCCATCTCTGCGTCCATCGCTGACTGCCACTGAGAGGAGTACTCACCCGCGATCGCCTCAGCGTAAGAGCGCGGGGTCGGGATGTCTGGAGCATCCGGGTCTCCCTCAGGGGCAATCAGCATGGACACGAGATGAGGCGCAGCGGCTGCAAGACACTCAAGGTCCTCCTGTCTGTCCTCAAGGACGTCTGTGCCTAGAGCACACTCACCCCCGACGGACGGAGGACAGACAGACTCAGACTCAGCAACAAGACTGGCGGCGTAGTCTAGACGACAGTGAGCAGCAAAGTCGACAAGCTCAGCAACTAGGGCAGACGCAGCAGCAGACTCAAAGGAAGGGTCAGTGACAGCAGTGGCCAGGAGACGCGTGGCAGTAGGACTGGCAGCACGAACCCGGTCAGACTCCGGGTCAGCAAGGACAGGAAGAGAGGACGCAGGAGGAGACGGCAGAGGGACACGCAGTGGAGCAGTGGAAGGACGCAGAGTCATATAGTGTGTGCCAGGGACAGGTGGAGGACGCTCACGCGGAGCACGGCGATCAGTGCGAGCAGCACGAACAGGCGACACAGGACGAGACTCAGGTGACACAGGACGAGACTCAGGTGACAGAGGACGAGACTCAGGCTCACGACGCTCTGTAAGACCGCCTGTCGGACCAGTGTAGGGAGAAGGACCAGGAAGTGGCGAGGCAGGCGGTAGCTGTGACTGCGACTGGACAGGCGGAGGACACTCTAAGGAGGGAGGAGGACTAGGAGGAGGCGGCTGACCAAGAACCTGCTGAAGGAGCGGAACGAAGTACGGCCGCGGTCGTGAAGTGCCCCCAGAAGGAGCAGAGACAGCACCAGAACCTCCAGACGAACCAGCACCAGCAGCACCTCCAGCAGCTCCAGAACCTCCAGCAGCACCAGCAGCACCTCCAGCAGCTCCAGAGCCTCCAGCAGCACCAGCATCACCTCCAGCAGCTCCAGCACCTGCAGCACCTCCAGCAACTCCAGAGCCTCCAGCCGAACCAGCACCAGCAGCACCTCCAGTAGCTCCTGTCACAATAGATTTATATCTATTTAGTATAATCTGTCTGTAGTGTAGCTGTTGTGTAATTCCCTTGTATGGTGGTGCACCTCTTTCATCTTTGTTAGGTTGCTATATGTACTCGTGTGCTATAGTGAACCTCCAACCATTTTCAATTCCTCCTTGGCACAAACTACTCGACACCCGTTTGGCCTAGGCTACTAAGCCTAGGCCCTTAATTAAACCCGGTTACCAGCTCAGATCGTATCGTAACATGGTATCGAGCTACTAAGATCCTACTCCTAGGTGAATGGGCCCATCACCAGCTGTCGATATGACGCGCCCCGTCGATCAGGTCATTGCGCAGCCCGTTACGTGCATCGCTGGCCCGTCGCTCGCCCCTCGCCCCACCGGCTCGAGGTCCCGCTGCTGCTGCGCTAGCGACGACGAGCTGCGCGAGGGCGCTCGTCGCGCCCCACCGTTACGGCCCCCCCAGTTCACCTGCGGACCCGCGAGCAAGAGAGACAGCGGATCCGCGGACCCGCCTTCAGCGAGCGAGCCAGCGGACCCGCGAACCTGCCTTCAGCAAGCCCGTCGACGGACCCGCCGACGGGCTCGTCACAGGGCCCGCCGACGGACCCGCCGTCGGACCCGCCAACGAGAGCGCCAGCAAGCCCGCCTGCGACCCGCCACCCGCACCCGTGCGACCCGTTCCTGCCCCGCTTGCATCTGCTGCGCCAGCTACTGCCGTTTTGTTCCGTTCCCGCCGCCCCACCCGGAACCCGATGCCCCACCTGTACTCGGCCGCCTGCCCGTCTCCCCCCCCGTCGCAACTGTTCGCGTGTGCAGCGGCGGTCGCTGTGGGTGGGAGAGGGAGGACGGGAAGGGATTGGCGGCCCAACCGACGCGCCAGCCAGCTCGCACCCCGCCCATCTCCCGTACGCCACCCGCATCTGCACGACCTGTCCCTGCCCCTCCCCGTCCCTCCCTCGTCGCGCCTTCCCCCTCTACCACGCCTGCCTATGCCGTGTTGGGCGGTGGTGGGTGTGGAGGACAGTGGGGGCGGCGGCGGCGGGAATGGCGGGAGTTGCGGGAGTGGCGGGATTGGCGGCTCATGTGGGGGGGTGGGGGAGGCGTGGGGGAAAGGGGTGGTGGGCGGCTGTCAGCAGTGAACGCCTGCGCAAGCGCCAGAACTGCCGCCAACGCCTACCGCCCGTCCGTCTTCCCTTCCCCCCCTCCTCGTCGCCTTCACTACCGCGACTGCAGCTGTTGGGGGGGGAGTGACGTGGAGGGGGTGATCAAACTGCAGCAATTGTCGCCACGCCTCCTCCTCTCTCTCTCCGCCGCTGTTGCTGCTGTGGGGGGGAGGTTCAGGGGGTGTAGGTGGATGTTCCAGCTGCAGCAACTGCCACCACACCTCCTCCTGTCATCCCCCCGCCCCGTGTCTCCCGTGCTGCTACCCCGTCGTTCCTGTGCCCCACCTGTGCTGTCCGTACCTGATTGTGCCCCACCCGTTACACCCGTGCTGTCCGTACCCAGTCGTGCCCCACCCGTTCCACCCGTTCCACCCGTTCTGCCCGTGTCCTGCCCGTGTTCTGCCCGTGATTCTGCCCGTACTGCTGCCCGTGATTGTGCCCGTGATTATACCCGTGTGTTGCCCGTATTTTGCCCGTGTTCTGCACGTGATCCTGACTGTGATTCTGCCCGTGATTCTGCCTGTGATCCTGCCCGTGTTGCTGCCCGTTCCCGTGCCATACTGACCGTGCACCTCCTGTGCTCCCGTGATCCTGTGCTACTCATGCTTCTTGTGCTTCTCGTGCTGCCCCGTGGTCCTGTGCTGTCCCGTATTGCCCGTACTTCCCCGAGCTTGCCCCGTGCCCGTGCCCGTGCTGTCTGCCCGTGTTCCCTGTGCTTCTGCTCGTGCTCTACCCGTGCTGTTTGTTCCCGTGCGTGCCCCACCTGTACCACCCGTGCTGTCAGTGCCCGTGCTGCCCCGTTCTGGCCGTGCTACCTCGTGCTCCTGTGCTGCCCCCGTGTTCCCGTGCTGCCCCCGTGTTCCCATGCTGCCCCCGTGCTGCCCCGTTCAGCCCTTGTGCTGCCCCGTTCTGCTTGTGCTGCCCCGTTGTCCCCGTGTTGCCCCGTTCTGCCCGTGTTGCCCCGTTCAGCCCGTGTCCTGCCCCGTTCAGGCCGTGTCCTGCCCCGTTCTGCCCGTGTTGCCTCGTTCAGCCCGTGTCCTGCCCCGTTCTGCCCGTGTTGGCCTGTTCTGCCCGTGCTGCCCCGTTCTGCCCGTTTGTGTCCTACCCGTGCTGTCCGTACCCGTTGGTGCCCCACCCGTGCTGTCAGTTCTCGCTCGTGCCCCACCCGGTCTGTGCTGCCCGGTCTCGTGCTGCCCGTCACCCCCGTGCGGCCCGTCCCGTACAGCACCTAGTTGCTACCCGAACCCACTACCTGTACCCGTGCTCCTCGCACACCGTGCACCAGCTGCGGGGCGTTCAACCGCAGCCGGGCACCTGTTCCACCGCGGTGGTTCAGATGCTGCTTGGTGGTTGCTGCTTGTCAGCTTCAGAGGGGGCCCCTTGCTGGTGTTCCCACGCCCTGTAATGGGGTTTTACAGGTGTACCCCTTCAAGGGGGGCTCTGCATATGGTTATGCACTTCAGGCAGATAGGGGGTGTGTCACAATAGATTTATATCTATTTAGTATAATCTGTCTGTAGTGTAGCTGTTGTGTAATTCCCTTGTATGGTGGTGCACCTCTTTCATCTTTGTTAGGTTGCTATATGTACTCGTGTGCTATAGTGAACCTCCAACCATTTTCAATTCCTCCTTGGCACAAACTACTCGACACCCGTTTGGCCTAGGCTACTAAGCCTAGGCCCTTAATTAAACCCGGTTACCAGCTCAGATCGTATCGTAACAGCTCCAGCACCAGCAGCACCTCCAGCAGCGCCAGAACCTCCAGCAGCAGTAGGGCCTCCAGCGGGCGGTACCTCAACACCAGGAGCTCCACTCCGGAGGCTGCAACGCCGAGCGTACCACTCACGCAGTCGCTGAGGGGAGGGAGGCTCCGGCTGCGACACTGCACCCGCAGGGCCACCAGCCCCAACTCCAGCAGACCCCCCAGCTCCAGTAGCCCCACGACGGAGGCTGTAACGCTGGGAGTACCACTCACGCAGCTGCTGTGAAGAGGGAGCGCCAACAGGCGCAGTACGGTCAGGCTCAGAGCCTCCAGCCTCAGCTCCTCTAGGCTCAGCACCCCCAGTCGCAGCCCCCCCAGGCTCACCACCCGCAGTCTCCGCACCCCCAGACTCAGCACCCCCAGTCTCCGCACCCCCAGGCTCAGCACCCCCAGTCTCAGTACCCCCAGACCCAGCACCACCCGGCTCAGCACGCTCAGCACCTCGCGCAGGACCAGAGTCAAAAGCTACCTCGACAGGCTCGACCGGGTCTACCTGGGAAACACCTGAGGGAGCAGCACCCTGGGGAGGGAGGGGGTCTACCGACGGGACACCTGGGGTGAGGAAGAGCGGCGGGGGGGGGAGCGGGGCAGTGCGGTAGGGGAAGAGACGGTAAAAGGGCACCGACTCGTCAAAGGTGACGTCCTGAGAGGCAAAGACACGGCGCGAGGTGGGGTGGTAAAACTGCCAGCCATGCACGTCAGGGACAAAGCCAAGGAAGACACAGGGAACGGCACGGGAGGAGAGCTTGTCCGCGGACGTATCGCGGACAAAGGCTTGACATCCCCAGACTCGGAACACCGACGCATCGCCAACCTCCCCCGGCCAACGCAGTGTAGGCGAGGTCTCCGGAACAGAGACACGGGGCCAGAGGTTGAGCTGATGCGCGGCGTACTGCACTGCAAACGGCCACAGGAAATGGGGGGCAGCCGCATGGATCATGGAGGTACGAGCGACCTCCATGACAAGACCAATGCGGCGCTCAGCAACCCCATTCTGCTGCGGAGAGGCCGGGAGAGTGAACGTCTGGCGGATGCCGTGCTCCGCACAGTAGGCTGCCAAGAGGTCAGAGGAAAACTCGCCACCTCTGTCAGAGTGCAGACGCAGGACAGGAAAGTCCGACTGCAACCGCTCGCGGAGCTGGAGACGAGTAGCGCGGATCCAGGGGATCAAGACATCAGGGACCTTACCCTTGGTACGCAAGGGGAAGACCGTGGTGTAGCGCGTGTAGTCGTCGACGACCAGCAGAAAGTACCGCTCGTGGCCCTTTCCCCGGACGCGGGCGGGGCCCCACACGTCCAGGTGGAGAGTCTGCAGGGGAGCCTCTGTGGGAGGGAACGAGGAGGAGTGAGGAGCGGCGCGCTGCCGCCCCTCGACACAGGGAAGACAGGGAGGAGCAGGCGAGGGTAGCAGGGGAGGGAGAACTCTGGGAAGACCAGAGACAAGGTACCTGGAGTGCATGCCGCGAAGGCGCTGCACTTATGGGTGACCAAGGCGGTGGTGCCAGAGGACAGTCCTGTGTGACAGGGAGCGACACGAGAAGGGGGCCGACAGCTGACCTGACGCAGACGCAGACGCAGCTACCTGAGGGGACTCAGTGGTCAGTGTGTACAAGTCCGACCCCGGCTGCCGAGTGAAGGTAGCCAGGTGACGACCCGTCCGGGCACACGTGCAGTGCGTCACACGCTCGTAGGCCGGGGTGAACTGGTGAACACCCGCGTCCTGGAGCGCGGAACCCGCCACCAAGTTCGTAGAGAACGAGGGGAGGTAGAGGCCCGACAGCGTGCCAGACGGGACAGCAGGACAAGGGAGGGCAGTGGTGGAGGTCGCAAGGACAGGACCCCCTGAGGGGTCAGCCAGGGAGACAGCAACCGGTCTAGGAAGCTCCTCTAGGGCAGTGCGGTCGCGGAAGAAACAGCGGGAAGCACCTGAGTCCAGTGTGAAGGTGTGCAGTGCCTCAGTAGGTGCGGTACCAGCAGACGTAGACGCACTAGCACCTAGGGCAGCAGCCTCACCAGGACCTAGAGCAGCAGACGCGCTAGCACCTAGAGCTGCAGCCTCACTGGTCCCAATACCCGGGTCGGGCGGTACACTCAGGTAACAGTCACCCTCAACACTAATAGTCAATGCATACATAGCAGCAAGGATAGCATCATAATCAAGAGCAAAGATATCAATCCCCTTCCTAAGCAGATCAGCCCAGCGGGGCAGCTCAGAGGCGTCAGGGAACTGCTCGCGCCAGGCGTCGTCGAGGCGAAAGAAACAGCGCTGCGCTGTGTGAAACTTCCCACAAGTCTGGCCAGTGCGGTCACCTGTGCGGATGACGTACGGGCAGGTACCTCCACCCCCAGACCCCCCACGCTGAGAGTACCACTCACGGAGCTGCTGGGGCGACGGGGTCTCGCTGGGGCGCTGCTGCTGCTGCCTCTGGCCGCCGCCGAACCCGCCACGCTGCACCGCTCCACCGCGCCCCCCACCAGCTCCACCGCCGCCACCACTGCCACCACCACCACCTCCACCTCCACCACCGCCGCCTCCAGCACCCCCGGCTCCGCCACCGCCCCCCCCACCACTAGCACCACTCCCACCACTGCCGCCACCGCCGCCGCCCCCTCCACCCCCTCCACCACCACCTCCCCCGCCGCCGCCTCCTCCACCCCGGCCCCCCTTGCCCCTGCCGCCCCTGCGCCTCCCACTGGGAGCGAACGCAGCTCCGACCCCCTCAGTACCGAGGTAGTCGACAGCAGCAGCAGATGCAATGGAGGGGAGAAGGGGGGAGGGGGAACATCCCTCAAAGAAGGGAGTGCGAGGGTCGCCACGAGAGGCACCTACAGCTACAATGCTCTTCTCAGCTGCGAGGAGTTCCTTCTCGAGTAGGTCGACAGTGAGGTCTGTGGGGGAGAGAGCGAGAAAGTGGTCCCTGACAGCGTGAAGAGAGTCAGGGAGGCGAGTGACCAGGTGGTAGAGGGTGAGGTACATCGGGGGGGGGGGTTCTTGGCTAGGAAATCGGGGGGGAGTGCGGCACGGTAGCGGAGATCACTAGTACGGAGGTGAGTGATGAGGTCAGCTACAGTGGCAAAGGCAGACAGATCGGGGAAGAGGTAGGGCAGTGAGAGACGGCCTATCGCAGCAGTGGCAGGGGAGGAGTAGCGGGCAACTACAGCGTCATACAGCTCCTTAGCGGTCTTATGCTGGTCGAAGTGCTCGCGCTCATCTAGCGGCAGGTGGCTGCGAACGGCTAGGCGAGCATGGGCGTCACGAGTCTGCCACTGTGAGCGAGCAGTACTGTCAGCAGTAGCAGGAGGTGCGGGAGCAGCGCCGGACGTGTGGTCATATAGGGAAACATCGTCCTTGGCAGTGATCTGGAGGTACAGGTGAAGGTCATCAAGCCAGACATCGAACTTAATCGGGCGGCCCTCGGCGTCAAAGGTGAGAACAGTGGGACTGGCCATAGTGGCAGTAGCAGTAGCAGCAGTAGCAGTAGCAGTAGTAGCAGTAGCAGTACTAGCAGTAGCAACAGTAGTAGCAGTAGGAGCAGGAAGAGCAGTTTCTGCAGGTAGAGCGGCGCGGTTCGGTCAGGGCGGCGCGACTCGGGCGGCGCGACTCGGGCGGCGCGGCTCGGGTAGGTACGGCGGCGCGACGGCGGGCCTATGCTCGGTGCGCGGCGGCGCCTAGGGTGCGGCTGCGCGCGGGCCGCGGCTGCGTTCGAGCGACGGCTAAGCGCTGGCTGCAGCAGCCGACGCGCGATCGCCGCGGCGCGCTGGCTGCGACCTGCGGGCGGGCGGCTGTGGGTCGCGCGCGGCCTAGGGGCGAGCGGGGCCTACGGGCGACGGCCTGCTGGGGCTCGCGAGAAAAAAACCGAGCCGCCCGAGGCGGCGAGTTTCCTACGCGCGCTAAAACGGCGGGGCCGCGCTCGGGCTGCTAGCGGGCTGCACACGGGCAGCGTGAGAGAAGAGCGCACGAGGGCGCACTAGGGGAGAGGCGCACGAGGGCGCTAAAAAGAAAGGGGCGCACAAGGGCACCTCTAGCGGAACGGTGGGCCCTTAGGTCTAGAACCTAAGCTCTTAATACCATGTCAAAATCAAGAAGTGGTGAACTAGAAAGTTGTTGGAGTACAAGTAGGAAACCCTAGTGAAATGTACCCCCTAAAGGCTAACCCACTATAGCCTACACAACAGAAACATATACAATGTTTGACACACGCAGCAGATGGAGCTCCTGTTCAATCGCATCAGCGACCTGACCGAAGGCGAAAAAATACAGGCGTACACAGAAGGGTTAAAATTGGAGATTCGCCGACAGGAAATCGCCGCGAATTACAACAGTTACTGCGACATTGTGCGTGCTGCCGAGCGATACGACGCATTGACTCGAGGTCAACCCGAAACACGACGCTTCACGCCGAACCGTACATTCGGCACGGAGCGATCGGCACCCCCCACGTTCGCCGAACCGATGGACATCGACAAATA